GGGTCACCTCCCTGGCCAGGGATCCAACTGGTGCTGCAGTGGCTGCGGACAGCTTCATAGTGCAGTGCTTTAACCTGTTGTGCCACCAGGTAGGGCACCCTTTCCTCTTAACTTTTTTTTGTTGTTGTTGTTTATAGTTCTTTATTTTACTTATTTGGTGTAAGAACAATGAATGTCCAAAGCAAATTAAGTACAAATACATTTATATGAATGAAATTTAGAAATGTAATTTGTATACACATTGGAAGAGGGAAAAATGAGTAAGACAATGGGATTACCTAGGAGCAAATCTTTTGTATACTACTGGAACTACTTTGGTGCTTATCCAAACAGACTGACATAAATTAAGATAGTAATTTTAATCTCCCTGGTAACCAGTATTTCCTCTTAACTTTTAAAGATTTTTGGCAAAAAGCTAGACTTGTCTATTTGGGAATAAATCCTGCAAGTCAGAATGTATTGGGTTACAAAAGGGGGTAAACTGAATTTACTATTCTAGGATAAAGAAATGAATAAGACTTTCTTTGCACTTAGGCATGTAGCAGATAGATAGACAAGTAGACTAAGAACAACTGCAAATATGCAGTAATAGAGATAAATAAGGACAGAGTACTAAGGAAACAGAGTGGAGCAATTTATCCTTTGGAAGAGTTTGAGAAGAATAGATAATAGTCTTTGAAGATTTGTGGAACTCACTAGTGAACTGGCTATGCCTGGTTTTTTGGGATACTTTTGATTACTGTTTCGGTTTCCTTATTTTTGATTGCCTTGTTCAGGTTTTCTATTTATTCCTTATTGTCAAAGGCTTATGGATTTCTAAGAATTTGTCCATTTCATCTAGCTTATCCAGTTTGTTGGCGTTTAGATATTCATAGTAATTTTTATGATCCTCTATATTACTGAAATTAAAAGGCAGTAGTTTTCTTACCTTGGTGATTTTCCTTTCCCTGTCTTTCCTCTCTTCCTTTCTTCCTCCTCTCTTTTCCTTCCCTTCTCTCTCCCTGCCCCCTTTCCCTCCCTGCTTTCCTTCTTCTCCAGAACCCTTCATCTTGCAAAGCAGAAACTCTGTATACATTAGTCAACTCCACATTCTTCTTCTCCCCACAGTCCTTTGGCAACCACTATTCTATATTTTCTCTCTATGAATTTGACAACCGTTGGTACTTTTTTATAAAATGATTTCACTTATGTGAAATCACACAGTATTTGTCTTTTTGTGACTGGCTTATTTCACTTAGCATAGTATTTTCAAGGTTTGTCCATATGGTAGCATGTGCCAGAATTTCCTTCCTTTTTATATATATACCATATTGGGTTTCTTCCATCTACTGACTATAATGAATCATACTGCAATGAACATGGATATATAATTATAACTTGGAGACTCTGCTTTCAAGTCCTTTTTGGTATATAACCAGATGTAAAATTGTATCATATGGCAATTCTATTTTTAATTTTTTTGAGGAAGGTCTTACCTTTATTTATTTATTTATTTTTAGAAAGAAAATGTTTAAGAAGGAAAGGAACAGAAATAAAGTCTACCTTTATATTTAAAGGTATAAATCTCTTGAGAATCCTCTTAGTAGAAGTAACTTTTTTTTTTTTTGTATAGAGGACAACCTCTACTTTGAAAATCATAAAATTTGAGGACTAATGCATGTTTGTGGTTTTGATAACTTAGATTGAAGGTCCTCCTGAATTTAAGTAGGTTCCTCATATTAGGTAGGCCTCTGTATTGTATGGTACATTTTTCTTCCCTTATCACTTGTAGAGATAAAAGTGTTTAAATCTTTTAATACTTTCAGATTTAACTAAAGTCTCATGATGATTTTCCTTATGTGCATATTCCATCAACATTTATATAAATGTTGATGTTCTGTCATCATTTTTCTTCTCTTGACTAGACATATAGCTTATTTTTTGTTCTTTTTTAAGGATAAACTGGAGAAATTTTTGATCAAACTTTTTTTTTTAAGATTTATTTATTTATGCATACAAGAACTGGGGTGTAGGCCAGAGAGGTAGGGATGAGAGGATTCAACAGAGACAGAGTGGGGAGCAGAATGGGTGAATCTACTGAAATACACTGCTGATGGTAGTAGGGGTGAGACAGGAGAGGTCTGCTGTGCCATTCGGGTCACTTCCCTGGCTGGGATTGGAACTCATGCTGAAGTGGCTGACAATATCTTGATAGCACTACCTTTAATCCCTATACCATCAGAGAGGTCCAAATTTTGACCAAACTTATTCTGCTTCTCTATTTATATCCTCTCCCTATAACCTCTGCTACCAAAAACAGAAAAGGAAAGATAATCAGTCACCTCTCCCGCTTCTTCACCCCTCCTCTTTCACTCTACCACCCCACCAAGAAATAGCTTGGATAAATAAGTGATTTGCTAGTATTTGGAAAGTATATTTACTAGACATTTCATTTAATGGTTGTTGTCATCATTTTCACTATGTCTTACGATGTACCAGGCCTTCTGGTCACTGCAAAGCAAAGATGTAGAAAGCAAAGTGTAGACCCTGGTCTCAAGATGCATTATAGCTTAGTAAAGAGATATTTGTGAAAATAATTGTGATTTTGGTGTTTGAATATAGTTCTACAGTATGTAAGGAAGGAAACCATGAATAGTTCCCAGAAAAAGCCAAGGAAGGCTTCAGAGAGAAGGAGGATGAATATGGTCTTGAAAAATAAATAAAACTTGGAGGCCTAGAAGAAAGCATATTTTTTGTTAATGAAATACAAAATACAGTGAGTTATGAATATGTTCAGCATCTTGTCTACTTGTTTAATTAGTAGGGTCTTTTTCTGATTAGTTTGATACACAAATTATTTATCTCTGGATTGCAAACATTATCTCAACATCAAGCTTTCTTAAAAACTGAAATTTTATCAAAAACATAGTTTTCAAATGATGAAAAAAAGTAGTGACTTTTCAGAATGGAGAGTTCTTATTAAAACACAGATGTCTTCTGTAAATAGAGTTGGAAAAATACAGTGAGTTCTTTGTGTTTAAATGTCTCTCTTATCCATGCAGGATCTGAAAAGGAAAGCCACTTCTCTTTCATCAATCACGAGGTACATGACAACAGAATCATTGATGCACTAGGAAGAGAATTGGGTTCCAAATCTCACTAAGTGATCTAGAAGAGGAGAGAGGCAGCCAGTGTTACCCCTTAGTTTTTCTATCTTAGAGTTCCTGTGGCTCTTTGCTTTCTACTTCTTCTGTCTGTCCATTCTGAAACATTGTTTCTTTGAATGATAAAATAAGCTACTTGTCTGTCCAGTATTAATATGCTAAATTTAATCCGATTATTGATATTTTAAGAAATTTCAAGGCATGGTAGAGTTTAGTAGATTGTCATGCTTTCTATTGAAATTTCCATTTGGTCAGCTATAAAACATACTGAAACAGTACTCTTTCTTTTCAAAAAGGTTCATTTTATTTATTTATGCATACAATAGCTGGGGTGTAGGTCAGAGGTATGGGGGTGAGAGGATTCACCAGAGACAGAGTGGGGAGCCAAACAGGTAGCTCTACTGAAATATACTGCTGAGGGGAGCAGTGGGAGAGTCAGGAGAGTTCTGCTACATCAGGTAGTTTAGCTCCCTAGCCAGTGATCAAACTCATGCTGCAGATAGCCTCATAGTGCTGAAACTTAACCCCTTTCACCACCAAGGAGGCCCCCTGAAACAGTACTTTTAAAGCCCATAGAATGATGACACTTTTATATAATAAGTCCCTGTTGTGCAATATATGAAATGAAACATTTTAAACCAACAAGTAATGGGGCCCTTGGTCCTTCACAATTTTTTTACTGCCTCATTTATAATACCTCAATGAAAACTTGAGCTTTTCTTCAGTAAGATAAATATTTCTCTGATAGTTTCCTTTTGTGCTACTATTTAGACCACATTTAGAGAATGAAAACCAATTAATTTTCTTGCAAGTGAAATATTGTGGTTTTTGAAACCAATGGAGTATGCACTGAGATCATAAAATAACATTACATGTGAAAAGTTTGAATTCTATAGTGGATGAGTACTTTTTTAGATGCAGCGTTTCCTTTGTGTATAGGTAACAGTCTGTGATGTGGCCCACTTTTTTTTTTTTAACTGACTTGAAAGTTTTTAGATGATTAGAAAGTACTTAGGGGCACTCCCTGGTGGCGCAACGGATTAGGACGCAACACTGCAAGCTAGCTGCACTGCTTCAGTGCAGGTTCGATCCCTGGCCCTGGAGGTGATCTACATGGCACAGCAGACCTCTCTTGTCTTGCCTGCAGCTTCTCTCAGCAGTGTATTTCATTGATCTGCCTATTCTGCTCCCCACTCTGTCTCTGGTGAATACTCTCACCACCCCTGCACCTCTGGCTTGTACCCCAGTTCTGTATGCATAAATAAATAAATCTTAAAAGCAAAAAGTACTTGGGTTGGGTTACTACAATATTAATCCTAAGAGATTCACTGACTCTATATTTGACATGAAATATTTTTTCCCTTACATATGTTTAATGGTGTTTGGAAGAGATTCTGAGGATGTGGCCTTAGTTTCCCATAAAACAGTAAGTTTTATAGTTCATTAAGTATGTGTGAGATTTATGTGAACATCATTTTTGTACACATTTAAAATTCCCCTGAAGGAACTTTATATCCTGTATGTGTCCTAAAACTCAGTAATGTTAGCCATAAGGAACTAGTCTAATAAATTTTCCCCATATATTTTTTAAAAAGACATGATTTTTTGAGGTGTTAATAGTGCTGTTTTGGCCAACATAGTCTGAAAGACTTTTGATATTAAATGCAGTAACTCCATCTTCTTAAGTGGAGATGAGATCCAAATGTATTCCAAGTTTGCAAAAAAAAGTTCTTACCATATCTTTTTTATCTAAACAGGCACTACAATGTGATGGTATTTTCTACATGCCTAGACTTTGACTTCATATATAGCATTGACTTCATATATAGCATTGAGCGTCTTGTTTTCGTTTCCTAGGTGCGCCACCGAGCTTCTGGTCAGGTGATGGCTCTTAAAATGAACACACCAAACAACAACCAAGCAAATATGCTGAAAGAAGTACAGCTCATGAAAAGACTCTCCCATCCCAACATCCTTAGGTAATGGTTTTCCTTCCTTGTGGGATTCATTGAGAAAGCTGAAACAGTATCAGAGGCTTGTTAGAATAGTGTTAAAAACTAAGAAGAGACTCAAGATTTCATACTGAATCTATCTTGCTGGGATTTAGCTATGCTCTACATTCTTTTCTACCTATTATGACTTAATTTTCTGGTAATTAACAGCATTTAATAAAGCAAATTCCTTCTGTTTTTCAAATTGCTTTACTCTTAGTAGCAGCTCTTTAGAACAGTTTTTCATTATACTGAAGCAGTAATTTGTCAAAAAGAAAAGACTAGTTTCTGTGTGGTTGTTTAATTTTCTTAATCACTTTATGAGGAACCATAATTAAATCAATGAGCAACAATAAGAGTGAAATTATGCCTGTGGCTTTCTACCCTTAGCATTTGGTACTCACTTGCAGAGACAGTTTACCCTTTTAAAGGAGAATTATTTTTTATGTATAATTAAGTTATATAGTTATCACATAAGCAATATCTGTATTTTTTACACTTTAAGTACCTTGATATTTTAGTCAGGTCAGTATACTTCTTAATGAAGCCAAATAAGACAACTTAAGTCAATATATATTATTTAAGTAGGGCTTATGTGTAAGAAAAAGTAAAATGTGCTGTTCCCTTAGGGTCAGTTGTTGCTAGCATTTTCTTGGATTAGAGATAGATCAAATGGTTTAATTATGATTTTAAATGTTTGGTCAGTGACAGTAAATTATAGAATTTGGCTATGCTGCTTATTTGAAATGTCTTCCTTTATGGGATTACTGGCTTTTTTGAGCATCTAGCATGTGCCTGCTGATGTGTCAGATGTTAGGAAAAACAATGCTTGCAGGAATTTGCACACTAATTGAGCCTGTAGAACTTATATTCTTGAAAAGAGAACTAATAAAATTAGCTTAGACACCACCACTTGGGTAGAATAAATTCTAAGTGCTATAGAAGTTCAGAAGGGTGAAAGATCAGATTGCTTGATAGAGCCAGGGAAACTTTCTTTGAGGAGGTTGACTTGAACTGGAACTTTTAGAAGATAGGGAAAGAACTCTGAAAGGAGTAAAACAGCCATAAAGTGCAAGATTTTTTGAATAGTCAGTGATTAAAAACCCCTTTGACTAATAGTTATAATAATGAGAACTACCATTATGGAAGACTTGTTATATGCTGTTATATGCTTTACCTATTCAAAGATCTAATTTCTATAGCTATTCTCCATTAAAGGAACTGAGACTAAGAGATTATGTTGACCATTGTGTGGGACTCTGGGGCCTGGACTCTTTTCACTGGGCTTCTAGAAAAACTTGAATATTTGATCTGACAGTATTGACAGATAAAGGAAGAAAAGTAGAATTGGGCCAAATTATTGAAAAATGCATTGCATAAAGTCACAATTATGCTTGTGTAAATTGAATTTTAAACAGGTATTAAAATTGACAGTGGGGAATTAATGGCAAATGCAGAACAGTTTATAGTGTTACACAGACTGATGATCAAGATATCAGTTAGGGTGCCTCTGCAATGTTTGAGAGTAAGATGGATGAATCTTAATTTGATATTCGGCATAGGAATTTTAAAGATGAGCATGTTATTATTTGCGTAAAAATAATATTTTATTGTTTTATTTTTGCAGAAGTGATGCATAATCATTATGGAATAGTTATAAAGTTAATAAAAACAAGAACAAAAAAGCCAAGAAAATAAAAATTGTCCATGTGCTCAGCACATAGGGATCAAACTGCTATTAATAATTTGGTGTATTTCCTGCCTTTTTTTGGTTTGTTTCACCACTTGTTTTCTTATTCTCTTCACTGTAAATTTGACTGCTGAATGCATGGGCATATTGTCTTCAAATAAATTTTATTCTGTCCAGCAAAAATATTATATATAGTTGTTATATAGAAGTATGGTATTGATTAATGATTGAAATAAAGACTGCATCCTATATTAAGCTGCCTGGGTTCAAGTCCTGGCTCTTAGGAAAGTTACTTAATCTTTCAGACTCTTGATGTTCCCTCTAAAATGAACATAGTGACAGTAACTGACTCATGAAATTTTTATTGAGGATTAATTAAATTATTATCTGTAAAGCACCTAGAAGAGTACCAGCTTGTGTTTAAGTGCCTAGTAAATGTTAACTTTTATTATTAATTTTCCTCTGAATAGTTTTTTAGTAACCCATTGATACCTGTCTTTATCACTAATTCACTTACCATACATTTGTTTAGTGTATATTGGTATTTTAAATACATTCTAGGAGTCTCTGCTGGAATGACGCTGTTGAATAGAACTTTCTACAATGATGGCAGTCATCTTTATCCGTGTTGCCCATTAACCACATATGATTAATGATCACTGAGATGTGACTACTGTGAACAAGTTACTGAGTATTTTATTTGATTTTAATTGCCATGAAGCCAGTGTGGCTACTATATTGGGCAAAACTAAGCTAGAGTTCATTTACATCTTTGCTCTTTTTATCTAAATATGTATGTTTCAACCTAGACATGGGATGTGGCAGGAATCTGATGTTATCATTTCTATTCTGGTATCTCTTTATCAACATTCTTATCCTATCTAGTTTTAGTCCCATTGCTTAGGAATGACATATTCCTCTCTTTTCACTTAAAAAAATGGTACTATCTTTGCCTTTGGCTAATTTTTTAAATATGTGAAAGGGAATGTTAACTCTACCTTGTTCTTTACAATAAGCCAGCAAGTAAACTAATGTATATAAAGCTTCTGTATTTGTTTTAATCCACAATAAGTATATATATATATATTGCTAGTTTATTTTTACATCTTTGTCCATCTCAGTTGTAATCTCCGTGGGCTTCCCATCACCAAATCACCTGTGTGCCATCACCATAGTCCAGTGCACTTCCCTCCCACCACTGTTTTTGATCCCATTGCCCCTTCCACCTCGGTAAAATGTCTCTGGTATATAGTTATTTATTAGTAGTAGTATTTTCTTGCCTGGTCCTTCATACTCCTGCTATGAGTGTGAAACCATCCGATATTTTTCCTTTTCTTTCTAGCTTATTTCACTAAGCATGATCTTTTCCAGCTCCATCCATGTTGCTGCAAAAGGCATGTGTTTATTTTTTTTGGTTGCTGAGTAATATTTCATTGTGTATATGCACCATATAGTTTTAATCCAGTCATCTACTTCACAATATGTATATATTACCTGAAAAAAATATTAATTATAGTGGGTTTGCGCTCTGATGGTAACTTTTTGTTCTCCATAAGCCTTTTGTCTCAAATATACTGCTGTTTAAGAGCTATGAAGTAGATTACTTTTAAAGAGAAGCTTCTCTTTCTATGTTTCATGTTTTTGTGTCATTGCTTTTACTGTACTTTTTGAATAAAAAAGGAAATTATTTTATTAGTGGCCTAGAGCAAAGAGTCTTCATCGCTTTTGTTTCCCGAAGAACTGTTATAGCAGTAGGAACATTATACTTTCCCAAGATTCGTTAAATACCAAAGTAAGCATGACTCTGTTCCATTGTCAAAATTCATACAATTTTTATTTCCTAAATACTTTTTTACCTTAACAATTTACTGTCAATACTTTGTATTTCTTAAAGTTTAAATTTTTGTTTCTGTATATCAGTATGACTCTTAATGTTATTGCAGGCTGTGAATATATGAATTCTCTTTTGTAGGTACAGAAACTGAGAAGCATGAGCCAGGGTTTTTCTCAAATTGAGATAATTAGATTTACACCAGAAAGCACCCATCTCTTAGAACCCTGGGGATAGCACAGATATGCCAACTCAAGGGATGACTCCCAGAGAGAGGCTGCTGAACATTTTAAGGTTTCAGATCTTTTCTCTATCTCACTGAGCTAGAGCAGCTCCATTTTTCTCTGTTCTGTATCGAATGTCTATGCGTTTTGAAAAAGGGCATCCTGCTTTACAAAAAAGAAGAAGTTGAAAATCGCTGCACTAGTGATTTGGAAAATCTGTTTGGGAAAGAAGGCTTATCTGCATGACCTGCCAGATGGTAGGCATTTAATCCTCTGGACATGAGCTCAACTTTCGCAGTTTTCTTTCATTCTATTTTCTTGACCCCCAACCTCCCTACTTCCTCTTTTACTTTTATCTTTCATCCTCATAAAATTTCTAGTTGGAAGGAATAGAGTGATCTTGTAAATCATAGAGGCAGTAGGTGTCTGGTTTTTGTTTGTGTATATAGGTTCTTTTTAAAATATGAAGATAGTTAAGATTTTTTTTAAATCATCAGTTGCTCTAAATCAGATGCTCTACTTTATCAGTTAAAACAAGGAACAATAAAGTATTTTGTTGAGTGTAGGAGCTGATTGTTTGGACCTCCTGTGAGTAAGGGTGTTTATGCCAGGAAGTCTTGTGCTGGAGATCTGTAACCCAATTCCATGCCTTGGTCACTTCCACTCCCCAATGGCCTTTTGAGTACCGGTACCAAGATTTGTCCTCATCCTTCTTTGTTTTTCTTCATGCTATGAGAAATTTAATATTTCTTTTAGAAATTTAATATTCCTTGTTCACATTCCCGTGCTTATTGTTTTTTTAGGCCAAATTCTGAATTTATTTTCCTCTCTACAAAGTTTGTTCAGAGTTGTTTGACTCTCCTTCAAAATCCATTTACAAGATGAGTTTGACATTTTGTTAAAATGGAGAGAACATGCTTACAATTCACCAAATATTTACCTTGATTTTCTTCTAATCCAGCTCTGTCTTAGACTATATGGTGAATACAGAGAAGTAGACAACTTGTATCTGCCAGACTGTCTTTAGGAAGCAATCTGTACATTTAAGAAACAGGCTAATATTGTCTGATATGAGTATATGGCAGAATATCTTCCCAATCTCAGTTATTAATGTAGCTGTCTTCACATCCTGGAAACCCCCAAATCATCTTTAGTTATTGCTTTTATCCCTTGCTTCTAATCAGAAGCAAATTTCTTGATTCTCAATCTTCAAATCCTTTTGTATCTATTCCTTTCTTTACAC